TTTTTTTGTTATTATTATTATTTTCTTTTGTCTGTTCTTTCTTTAAATGTTTTGGATAGACATTTTTGTGAGCTTTCTGTTTGCTCGTGTAATTTTTTTTGTGGAGCAAAGATGCCTTGAAGCATCGCTCGTCTCCTTTCTCCTTCATGGGTGTTGTTTTCATTAATTAGTAAATGCAGACAAGGTTTTCCCCATTGTAAAGTTGTAGTGCTTATGATTGTAACCCACGGCTGCCACTTGAAGCACCAATTTCGCATGTTCAATACTTTATTCTCTAAAATTAACAGGTTAAGTAATTATCAAAGTAATCAGAGATCAAAGGTTAACTAGGGTGGAGCAAGCAACTAGAGTTATGACAATCTATTTACACTTTTTACCTCATGTTTGAGAATGTATGCTGCACTTCTCTTATATTTGGAGGCTAGATGTAGGAATATAAATAACATTACCTTCTTCTTTCTATCCTGCTGTCATACCCACTTTAGTTGACTGAATTCTAGACAGATTAATGTGATGACTGCGAAATTGAGGACTTTTAACATAAATGTAGGAATACCCTTTCGAGAGCATGGGCTGCCAACGTTCACCAAGGAAAAAGGGTTCTTTTAATTTCCATCATAAATTCAAACCACAAGTCTTTAATTCAAGCTTTGCTTTGTACAAAAACTAACACACATATCCATGCGTCATTAATAATTACTCATTAGTTTGTATTACCAACAAATAGAAATCATATTTTCGTATTATTAAAATCCAGATGTAATACAATTCAATGAGTATCATCCTATCGTATTTTGATCAGGTATTCAAACTCAAACTTTGGCATGGGAACATAGCCACCTCATTCATCCCCTCCCCCAACTTTCTTTACAGCAACAACCTAAACCAATTCTTTAGAAAAATAAAGGAAATTCTTCTTATCAAAAAAGAAGGGAAAAAAAAGATAAATAATGAAGAACATTTCTTTCCGAACCATAGTTCGGCGGACAGGATAGGATATCCAAGCCCACAAAATGAATGTTTATCTTTAACCTGTATCTTGAGAACAGTATACCTGACCAATCTGCTGCGGCCTGCTACTACTTCCGTTGATGATAACTTAATGTGTTCGGTTTATATTCTACCAACGGATTGCCCCCTTGAGCAGGCATTTTTCAACCAATGAGTCGAGTCAATCCTGATTTTGGAAGGCATTCAATTCCCTCCTTCTGGAATGGTATGTCTCTGAAACAATGCCAGCATGCCCTCCTTTTCAGGTGAATTTTTACTTCGTAGCATGAAGAAAAATTTACAGAAGCCAAGTTTTAGCTTTCTACATGCCCTCTGTTCCTTCACAGATGCATCCTGGAAGAGGATTTGCATAAAAACTCTCCTCCAGTTTTGGAAATTCTCCTGGCTCTCTAAGATATGCAGCTCCGACTCGATCTTTATGAAGCTCCTTCACTTCGGAACTGAATTGCTTCCAAGAAATATTTCCCTCATCATATTCATCCACAAGTTTTACAAAATTCATCCTGCACCATCAAATTGATAATTGTTTATACACATTTTGGTCTGGAAATGACAACGATTAGATCATAAAAATATTCATTCAAGAAAAGAAATGAAAACAACCAGATCAAAGAGGTTAAGAATAGTTTAAATCAATAGGTAGGCTCTTACCTGTCTGGGCTGATAGTCTTCTTGAAGTTCTCAAATCGCCTATGTCCTTGAACTGCCTTTGCCATATTTCCATCATAAGTATAAACAAATACATTACTCTGAAGGGCAACAACATAGTCTAAACCAGCCAACATGTTCTGGTGAATCTTGAAAGGATTCAACTCCTCCTCTGTAGAGAGGGAGGAATGAGAGAAGATGTTAGGAAAGTCCTCCTTAAGATAGTCCATACTGCCATTCCCATAAGCTTCACCAGCTACCAAGTAAATCCGCGTGCTTGGTGGGAAATCCAATGCTCGGAGCAAGAGGGAGGTCTCCCTAGGTGTTAGTGGACAGCCACCAAGTAATCTTCTCTCTGTTCCATTAATCTCTTTCTCCTTCCAATGGCTGACTTCATAACGCATCCTACGTAGCTCATCATCTTCTTCCGCTGTCAAGCTATGACTGCAGCCAGTAAATGCAAGCATATCCTTCTCATATCTACAAATTAAACAAATAAAAGCAAGAATATAAATCAGCCTTGAATTCTTTGCTGCAATTTATCAATGTTATTATTATCTATCATGGATATAAAGATGATACCATATACCCATTTTCATGATAACCAATGCTCACTCAAGCCAAACACAAACAAGAATAGTGTGGAACAAGATAAATGTAGTACTGCTATGCACAAGAAATAAAATTTTTTTACTTGCCTCAAATGGAGAGCGAGATAAGGGCTTCCATTCTGGCGCATTCTAGAAATCAAAGTGTTTCCAAGTTCTTCAATTGGAGCAGAATATTTTAGTGCCCTATAATTTACCCGGCACCTGAGCTTTTGTATGGAACTTGGGATATCATTATTGGCAAGCCGAGAATCTGTGTGAGTAAAATAGATTACTTTATGCTCTTTCAATAGTGGGAGGACCTCTGTCTTATAATAGCTAACCTAAATGAAAAAGAAAAAATCATGTAGGTTAGTTAGTTGAAAAGGAACCAGTAATAGAAGATACATGAATCACACATGATATGTTTGACTGAAGCAAAACCACTCACATGAATGGGCTGCTCAAATGATTGCCATCTTAGGCCACAAACAGAAATAACCATCTCAATGATAGGTGCAATCTATATTTGCTGTATAGACATTTGGAATGACACAGATAAGTTTGAACTGACCTTAGACCACGATATTGGTGTTTTGTTAAAAGGTTCAGTTCCAGCATAGGCAGGTGGTATTGTCTCAACCATGTGGACATCATCCTTCAGGGTCTCCATGAAGTGTTGCCAGTCAAATAGATCTTTAAAGCCACTGCAAATATATCAAACCAATCAATTAGCTAAGACTATATGATATACATACAACTATAATGCATGCCATGCAATGCACTTATATGACCTAAGTATCCAGCAGTAGATGTCAGGCATGGCAACCTAGGGAATAACTATTAAGTCAGCCATATGATAATACCAACTACCAAGAGATGTAGGTTTTTCAAAGGGCACGAGAAGAAATCCTTGTGAGTTGACGTGAAAATATATCTTTGGAAAATGATCAGACAGGCTGCATCATCATTCAATACCTAAAAATGGAATTCATACTTTCCCTGTCTATCCACTAGGATATAAACGAACATTCATTTTAGAATATGGTATTACTTATTCATATTTAAATCATGTAAATGCAAGTTATTAGCTTAAGTATTCAACATAACATTCAATCGAATCTCATTATAACTGATGTACTGATAGTTGCAAAACAGGTATGAAACTTTTACAGTACACAAATAACTAACCTTTCATCAGCCCAATATGAGGTGTGATCAAGTGAGGGAAGGACAAGTGTTGCCTTCATAACTTTAGCAACAGCAACCATATCGCAGATCTGCACTCTAAAATTATTGATACATCAGAGTATAGTAATTATAAATGGTCAGGCTATAAAAAACAATGAGAAACACACAACAAACAGACCCCAAATCTCATCTGATTCAAACCACCATTTGCATTAACGAGAATGTAGCCATTTGTCTTTGCATCTAGCTCTGCCAAGAAAGCAACAAGTAAGAACTTGGAGGAAGAAAAAATATAGTAATCAATTGCAAGTTTACAACACACAAAAACATGGAGATATCTGTGAACACACACACACAGAGTAAGGAGAAAGAATATTTATAGAGCTGTAAGAATCCATACTTTTCTGATTCTTTGAATGGTCAATGCACTTGGTGAAATTCTCACTATTTGGTTGAGACCAAATACCTGAATCCTGGATAAGAAATGAAACAAATCTCAACACTCTGCTTATCGAAATAAGTGATTTTATTATTCTTGTTCTTCCTGGAAACCAAGCAGAAGTGAAACAATATATTTAAGGTACAGATTTTAAACTTACTTCTGTTACATCTGAGGGCACTGTCATTAAAGTTCGATCTGAATCACTTCCTTCCTCCCTGTACCCATAATCGTTAGAGCCTTGATCTATCAGCTTTGGATGATTGATGGAGAGATCAGATAAACCCTAATTACAATGATAGAGATAGCACATTAGCAAGGAAAAGTCTAAACAATGCTCTACAAATTATCAACAATTAAAACATATCTTATGCATTGATAAAAATGCATGGAGTAATATAAAATTTAATTTGTGCACAGAAATTAAGAATTGAAAATTCTGTTTCAGTGATATCCTAAGCATTCTGAGTCCTCACGTACAAGCAGGAGAAATTTGCTCTCTAGACACAACCCAGATAATGAAAGTGGAATATTCTGCTATAAAAATCCACAAGAAGACCAGCATTAGAAGGAAAACTGCATGTTTCTAACCACACATCAGAGAAAACTGCAAAATGCAACTACTCGACTCCTAGCCTGATTTATGGTTTTGTATTACAAAAATAATACTTAAGCCACTAATAAGATTACTCCCTAATTTCTGCTTTACACCCATAAATGATTTCAAAAAAAGGCAAAAAGGGTACATAAAAGAATCACCCATTAATTTCCCAAGCAAAATAATTTAAAGTCCTAACAGTCTCTAAAAGAAAACACATTTTTCACATTAATGATTGATCGATCTATATTAAATACCAATGCAAGTCAATTCGGAAACAGCTATAGCAAAATGCTAGGTAAATAAAAATTCATAGAAGTACCTGATTTGATGTAACGGTTTCAATAGCAGATCCAAACCAACCAGTAGCACAAATCTTAAAAACACCCAAAAACAAACAAACCCCGCAAAAGACCAAGAACATCCAATGCCCGAGCTTCTTCCTCTCTTTCAAACCAAAATCCAAAACCATCGATCCAACACTTGGCTTCCTTAAAAAACCTCTTCTTTGGCTCAACCCATCGATTGAAACCGAACCCGCAGCCCCAGTCTCCGATCTGGGTGAGTTTATTGGTACATCAATCTCGTGATGCACGCTCAAGTTATTGCCGTTGCTTCCGTTATTATTGCCGTTACCGGAACCAACGGCGTTGTTGCTGTTGGTGGTCTGGGAGTTGCCATTGCCACGCTTGAATGAGCTCGCTCGGCGAGTCATTGGACCCGAGAAGCGCGGGCTGTTAACTCGCTGTGAAACGCCATCGCTCGTGTTGTGATGGTGATGCTGCGTGTGGTGACCCATATATAACTTTATTGCTCTTACTTATAAGTATTATTATCATAAACTATGTAATGTAATAAGAAGCAAGCAGATTAAGAATCTTGATTTAACCTTCATTAACAAAACAAAGCAGAGAAAACGAAAGAGATAGAAAACTTTGGGTATTTGGCTTTATATCTATTTTGTCTCTGGGATTTTGGGTTCTGAAACAAATGACGCAAGAAGATTTCAAAAGAGCGTGTGCAAGGACAGGGGCGAGGGTCGCTGGCTGCCGCGTTGGCCTCTGTATTTATTGTCTGTCTGCCTGTGTTGTCTTCTTTATACACGAAAAAGAATAGGAAAAGAAAAGGGTCGGGCACGTTTAGGTTACGGTGGTCATTTCAATCGTACCCCAAAAGAAAGGAAATCTACACATACTTATTTGCCCCTCAATGATTGGATTTTGTATTACTAAATTCCCTACGTTCTTCACTTATTAGAATATAAAATCTTTTTTAATTCCTTTTTTTGCTTCCCGAGTTCTCGGTTTTATTGAATGTTACTATATATGTATGAAATTTGAGTGTTAAATGCCACATTTTCATGCCCAATAGAGACTAAAGTAGAGTAGAGTAGCATGGCTAGCATTTCTCTGCCCTTTTTCTATTAATTAATACAGTAATGATAAGAAGCCATTCTGCTTAAATTAATCTTAGTAATTTACATTATTTTATAAGTTAATAAACCACTAAGTAAATAACTAAAGCAAGCATCTCAATCGTTTAAAACTTCTGATAATAGCAACAAAATTAGGTCTTAAACAAAGTTTTTAAACTTCTGGCATGAGTGGGTGTTTGCCGCTGCTGCCGTTCTGCAATGGAAAACATCAAATTAGAGAAATCCACCATTGATGTAGTAAATAGAAAAGCCAAGCAACTCCAAAAATAATTCAAATTTTTACTTATTCGTAGGATCTAAATTTGATACTTAAAGAAAACTTTGCCTAACATTTTTTAGAATAGACTTCTTTGTATTATACTTTGTGTCGGCTACTTTGGTCTCCTACACAAAAGGTAATTAAAAAACATAACCTATGACGGGGATTTGATTTATTAATAGTTAAACCTCTAAATCGATTGTCACGTTTAAAAATTAAACCTTTGTCCCCTTGTCAGTGACTCTTGTCACGATCCTTATAGTGTATGTTTTGGTATATTCTTAACTGTTTTACCCTATTTAGAAAAGGAAAAGCATTGTTAAAAGTATCTATATTTTGGTTTCTATTTTTAACGTTGGCATGGCTAATTTTGGACAAATTGGTTGTTATTGCTAAATCAATTGATCATTGACCATAATTGGACATGACAATTCTTGTGGAAATCTTTGTGATTTTTTTCCATAATTAAATTCATATGTATAATTTGTGATGAGAAGATTGGAAACTGCCTACCAAATTTGAACCTTGGTATGACAAAAACGATTTAATTTATTCAAAGGGCCAAAAGGAAACTAGTGCATACAATCTTGACAGATGAATCCAATTGGCAGGCCACCAAAATTGACTTAGATTGTCCATTGATTATATAATATTAGTATTTCTTAAGGATCGCTTTGCGCATGTGAGGATTTGTAAAGTAACTTTGTTATTATTGTAATAAATAAAAAGAGGAAACCAAGTTCTTCGCGGCGGAGAAACGGTGGCTGCATGGTAATTCCTGAAGACTTTTCTCCTTTTGAATTAGTACTACGTCTATCGACAAAAATTAAAAGAGAAATAAATGTTTGGAGAGAAATTGTACGCAGATAGAAGGTCGAGATGGAATCACGTGATGGCATGTTGGATTTCCACGCTCACGGGGTCCCACACGTGCTAGCTTCCACTAATCAGCGGTCCTTGCGACTTGAAAGGGGAACTCATCAGAATATCCTAAAACATACGACAGCTGCTCTTTCTTTCCTATTTTATTATTTTCTTATATTAAGATTTTCACTTGCATAAGTTTAGAGGGAGATAATTCTCTTCTGTTCCTAAATCTTATCTCTATATTCAAATTTTAAACTTTTAAAACAAAATCTTAGATTTCAATAGCTCAGATATCGCTTTCATTATCTTTAAAAACTTATTTAGATATATATATATATTCAAATTATTGAGATATGTATTTACACAATTTATAGTATTATATATGCTGTGTCAACAAGTCAAAATCAAGCCAACTCATTTTTGAGTATGGACTTTAGATTGATTACAGCAAAGCTTTTCACTATATTTGGTAGATATGATTTAAATTACAGTGTAATTGGTCCATATAAGCTTGTTTTCGAGATAGAGAATTTGTTTGAAATACACAAATATAAGGCCCGATAATTTATTATTAAGTTTAATAAAGTGTTGAGATGGAATTTAAATTTAAATTTCAAAATATTAATTTGTCTTCACATTATGTCTACTGAATTTAGAATAATTCAAAACAGCAGCACCTTTAAACTTAAATTAATAATATCAAGAAAGCTTATAATATATTTCTTTTGGGATAAATAAAAAATTTATATTATCTTAAAGCTAATAAATTTCAAAAGTTTATAAGTATTAATATTTGACCCACTGTGTATAGTTTCTACACACTATCAACTTACCAAATACTGCCTGAGATTAAAAATGTTTAAGGATTTAAACTTAAATATTAAAAATTTGTTAATAATTAATTAAATAAAAAACACAAAAATATTTTTTCTATCTCTCTGACTTCCTCACAATTTTTTTTTATTTTTTTTATCTCTCTTTAACTCCATCTTTTTTTCATACTAAAATTAAATATTAAAATATTTCACTTTTTCCTTAAATCTCTTTTACCTTACTTTTTTTTGTTCTTCTATAGACATTCAAACTAAAATCTTAGTGAATTTTTAAGAGAGAGTGCTGCTGAAATTCTAAGGGAGAAAAAGAGTAAAGAATTTAGTATATAATTTTTCTTTTTGTTGAGAATGAGAGATAAAAGAACTGTTTAACCAAAATGCCTTATATCTTAATAAGAAAGTAATTTTCTTTGTTGGTTGGCATTGGAATCAGATAGAGTGGGTAGTTGGCTAATTTGATCACCAATTGTGATAAATAATCTTTCCTTAAAAAATTTTTAGAAAAAATTTATCACAATTTCGGTTAGAATTTTAATTTGATATTACATTGATGTTAGTTAATTATTTTTATCATTTTTATCATTTAACTTTAATAATTATCACATTATAATCTTAAATTAAATTAAAAGTAAAAACATAATTTATTTATTTGCAAAAAAAAAGATTATCACACCTTAAATCAATTGTAAAATCACTTAAAAAATAAAAATATATTGCTTAAGTTAACAAATAAAAATTATCTTAAAATATGTTGAATTTGAATAATTTTACCAAACTTAATTTTAATAGAAGAAGAAGAAGAAGGGAGAAGAAGATAACGGAGTTAGAAAAACATAAAAAAAAAGAGAGGAATCAAAGAATGTTGTGACTAATTATTAAAAGTTTTTAGTATTTAAATTCAAATTTTAAAAAATTTTTAATTTTATCTCATTAGTAAAGAGACAATGACAAATTGACAACAGTCAATCCATCAAGTATAAGTCCTTTTGATAATAATTTAATTTTCATTTGTTTCTTTTTGAGCCAAAAAAGGGGAAAAGAATCAAGTCACAATTTAGTTGGATCAGCCCATAACGTTTATGCTCCCAGCTGCCCATTCAGTCTATTTGGCGGGAAAATTAAGACCGAAAATAAGCGTACACGAGAAGCTTCTCTGGAAAAACCCTAAAACAGGCGAACAGGCGCCCATTTTAATACAGCATATCGTTTAATTGGTCTCCTCTCTGTTATTTTGTCGATCAAAGTTTCGAGAAAATCTTAAATGCATCATGTCGGTGTGATGCGAAGGAGTGCATACCCTGACGGCATTAGATTACCATAAAGAACGTATACCCATTTCCCTTCTCTTAGGCTGTACCTGTCACTTCCCGCCATTCTTTCAACGGCGAACGATGCCGGTCCTAAGATCCCGCGAAATCCCCGCAGTCCCACCTAATCCTCGCAAAACCCGGGCTCACGTCGACCCACCCGCCACTCCCACTCAAGGCCGTGAACATCCGGCCACTTTCTCATCTTCTCCTTCACTCTCTCCATCCCCTAAGATACCCAGTCGGGCCTCCAGTTCTGCAACAATACTCAGGCGGAGCCTTCGTCTCGCGTCTAAAGCTTCCTCAAACGGGGACGAGGTTGGCGTTTCAGGGGAGGAGAAACGGATTGAAAGGCGAGATGTGGACTTTTTGAAAAAGAGGAAGTTGAGTTTGGTTAGTGATGGTGGCGTTGAAAGCGTAGAGAGTGAAGGGGTTTTGAGTCTGCGGTCGGGGAAGAGGGTTACAAAGATGACTTCACTGGCGGACGGCTGCGGCGATGAGGAGGTTGGAAGTGAGGAGAAAGAGAAAGGGGTATTAAGGAAAGAGAATGAGGATATTGAGAAACTGGAGAGAAACAGTGAGAAAGAGAATGCGAATTGCAGAAGGAGATTTAGCGATGAAGAGAAAGGGAAGGGGAAATTGGTTGTTGAAACGATTTTGGAATCTGAAGCTAAGAGTTCAGTTGACGGTTCTGTTTCAGGCATTAACCTTTCAGCGGAGAAAGTAAGACTGCCAGATGAAAAGCGTACTAAGAAGAATAATAAGAGAGGATATGGGGGGAGAACGGAACATTTTCGAGACGTGGCCAGGCAAAATGCTTCTCGATATGCCCATTTTGACGCCCAGGAGGAAGAAGATAACATTTTCCCTGTCGAGGCTGAAAGGGAAATTTCCCCTGAAAAAGAACAGCCAGAAGAGAAGGGCGTTGAAGATTGGCCTGGTCCATTCTCTACTGCTATGAAGATTATAAGGGATAGAGCAGAGAAATTGAATTTACAACGGGGGAGTTCTTCTTCAGGCAACGTACAATCCGTGCAAATTACGTGGGTTCCTCAAAAGGGTAAAGGAAAGGACCGTTCAAAGCGGTTGCCTCCATCATTGCTTGATATGTGCTTCCGGATTTTGGTCAATAATGCAGATGCAATTGCTTCCCTCGATCATGTGCCGGATGGCCTGAGACACAAGCTCTGTCAGATGCTCTGTGACTCCAGACGAATGAATAGTAATTTTTTGGACCACCTCGTTAGTGGATCCCCTACTGAAATTCGCCTGAGGGATTGTTCATGGTTAACGGAGGAGCAGTTCACTAGATGTTTTGAGGGGTGTGACACTACCAACTTGACGGTATGTTGCTTGTTTATTGTCATAGACTCATAGTATATAAATTTGGTATTGTGCATCACTTCCTGCCTTGATTAGTTCAAATTTGTTATTAGTGGAACCACACTTCTTTTCTTATTATGTCAAAACGATTTGAATTAATGTCGTGTGGTAACAGTGGAAAAATTCCTAGCTGCTTGTTGGTTAATATATCTGCTGTAATGGCATCATTGTTTTTCTTTTAACTGAAAAGAGCTGGACATGACTCTGCATTGTCTTATTCTACACGGGAATCTGTTGCCTAAGTTGAAGTAAGCAGAGCTAATTAGATTGCTGCTGAGGCAGTGGATTGTTGTGGCATAGTGACTGCCAGCTCAGTGCGGAAATTCTAATCATGGAGAAGATGTTAACCTTCCTGGATAACACTATTCAAATTGCACTAGAATGATATGGGGTTTCTTAGTGACCAATTAATTACTTCTGAACTTTAAGTGCAGTATTATGTGACTTAGTTGAGTATATGTGGTTGTAACATCCAAGCAATTCTAGAACATTTTGATTGGCTTGAAAGTGAGGGTCAATAATGTCTGTATTTGCCCTTCCTGATTAAATTTTCTGACCTCTGTTTCATTTTAAGCCTAAGATTTTGTGACGGGAAGTTCATATTCATCCATATGCAGTATAGAATTATTGCTGTCTATCCAATTTCTTTATGGATATTCTAAAGTTTGTTGTATTATGAATTCAGGTTCTTCAACTTGATCAGTGTGGCTGCTGTATGCCAGATTATATTTTACTTTCTACCTTAGCTCAGTCATCAAACAGCTTGCCTGCACTTATTAATTTGTCGTTGACTGGTGCATTTCGGCTTTCAGATGCTGGGCTAAATGCTCTTGTTTCTTCTGCCCCTGCACTAAGATCCATTAATCTCAGTCAGTCTTCTCTTCTTACTGCCAGTGCTATTGACACTTTAGCTAACTCCTTGGCATCAGTCCTACTGGAACTATATATCAATGATTGCCAAAGTATTGATGCCAAGCTGATTCTTCCAGCATTGAAGAAGCTGGAGCATTTGGAAGTTTTATCAGTAGCAGGCTTGGAATCTGTTACTGATTGTTTCATCAAGGAATTCATTATTGCACATGGTCATGGTGTCAAGGAACTTATATTGACGGGTTGTAGGTACGTTTGCTTAACACTTATTTACATCTAAATTCTTGTACAGTTCCTTGGTTTTGAGTCGATTTTGGCCCTTTAATATATTGGATGTTTTTGATTTCTTGCAGGAAATTAAGTGATTCTTCCTTGAAAATCATTGCAGAAACCTGTCCAAATTTACATGCTCTTGACGTTGGTAATGTATCCAAATTGACAGACTCTACTTTGGGATACCTGGCAAATGGCTGTCAATCAGTACAGTTATTGAAATTCTGCCGCAATGCATTCAGGTATTACCATGATTTCATGGTCAGGTTATTATTACTTCTCTTACCATGTCATAGAATCTAATTCTGTGATGTTATGTATCATCTTTTACTAGTTGATTCCTTGTAGTCGATGTTAAGTTGTAGTTTGATTGAGCATTTGACTCTGCTTTTATCTCATTGAGGCTCAAGGCATTTAATGGGCAAATAGGTTTTTCTTTTCAATGTCTTATTGAATAATAATGTAGCAGTAGAGTGGCCTTATGGGTGTCCAATCAATGCTGTAGCTGTGTAATTGGTTGGAGTAGTTCTCTGGCATTCCTGTTTTCTTTGGAGGCTTTCCTGGCCTTGACATCGTCTTTCTCTATTCTATCTATGTCAAAATTACATTGGAGTTTAATTTCATTCTTGTATTGTTAATATGATTTCTGTTATATTGGATGTAAATTTCACTCTTTTACTTTTGGTCTTTTATGCAATAGTGATGATGCTATAG